GTGGGCTTATCAGATGCTTCAGATAATAGAATTTCTAAATATATTTATAGTATATTACATTGAACATGTTCTGCAAAGTTCTTTTTATATGTCGACACGATATATACTATTGAGCTTAAAATTAAAGATACCACAAGGTCCGACACAATTCTTTTATACGTGGATATTTTACTTATACGATTTATTACAGTTAAAATGATTTGCTCTTGAATCTATATGCTGCACTATTTTCTTTATTCGAAAAATATTTCATGGTAGAGTATTTTTCTTCATTTACTTTCATCTTTCAAATGTTTTCAATTAAGGAAGCTCACTTGATAATTTTGTCCTTTTACAAAAGTACAAAGTTTACTTGTAGCCGTGAAAATTGTTTTATTAAAAAAATATGGGGGGGGGGGTTCAGCAGCAGTAGTAGAAAAATGCATTCATATATTTGCAATCATGCAATCAAATAATGTAAATCCTTAGAGTTAGCACATAATTACATTTCATCATAAAAATAGATGGATTTTTTAAAGTAGTACAACACAGATTTTTTCCAGTGTCTTTCATATTCCACATATCTACAACTTTGTAATAACAAAACCTGTTCTATAAAATTCTGTCTATAATCCTCTTTAATAAAATATCAATATTTGATTTTTGAACACTTTTATATCTACAAGCAAAAAAAAATTGTTTTACAATAAGTATTATCAAGTTTTGTAATTAACATCTATTCCTGTTCTCATATTTACCAAAAAGTATTGCTTGATTGTCAAAACTACAATGAATCTCAAATTTTTCCAAAACTCATTCTTCAATCCTACAACATATATACGCTGTTTTCTGACTTTGTTTGGAATAATGCATATCCCTAGATCTGTTATCATCAATTTGTAATTGCAAATATTTTTCAAGTCATATAAGATGAAACAAGATTATCAACTAATCAGCAGGCTCGTTTAAAGCCATTTCGTTCTCAAGTACTATGGTCAATAAAATGATATCAACAAATACAATCAATTATTAAGTCAAAGACTGACATTTTTCATACTTATTGTTAGGCCATTATTTACACTCTGAATTGTCGACAGATTTTTCTGCTTTTTTCCGATCATGACATGGAGTACACGACGGGTCTGACCGGTTGGCAAGGGATGCTCACTCCTCCATGGAACCTGATCCTACTTCTGATGTTTTAGCGATCAGTGTTTGCTCTGCTACTAGTTTGTAATATCTAAGGAAGATATGAACTTGAATACTGTTTTATCTCCACATATTAAATTTCTTATCTGTCTTTTTTACAGAGTTAGGTCTGTTATTTTTTAATTATTTTTTTTAAGAAATCATGATCTATTTTCAGTTGATAGAAATGGGAAAATATCTGTTCTTGTACAAAACTACTTTAATGGAAAATGATTGTTTGAGCTGATGTATGATCATTATTTTCGATTTTTTCTTACGTTTACCAAGAAACAAACTCAGTCTTCATCTTATTTCTAAATACTTCACTTTCAATTCTCAAAACTGAAAGTCAAAACGCAATATATGATAAGTGTCTGAAATGGCCCCTTAAAATGCATATCTTAATTTTAATTTTTATAAAGCTTTACTTTGTACAGCTATACATTGGACCTTTATTAGTCATTTTTAATTTGATCAAAATGCCGTTAATTTAGAAATATGACATCATAAAGTTCACGTTTTCCCGCAATTTTAGCATAATTTGTATAAAACTGCTTATTTTTAAGCAGTTTTTCTTCCAGAAAATATTGAGCGCAGACTAGAAGATACTTTATATTTTTACCAAATATGTATCTATCCAATGCTAATTATTTCATAACATGCACTTCTACATGTATAACCATTTGAGGAAAGTGGTTTTGTACTTTGAACACATTTGTTTAGCATGTGCACTGCTTTTTATAAAACCCTTCATATATAAACATGTACCAAGTTATCAACATTTTGGTTGATCCTTGTTTTCAGTATTTCCCTCTTTGAATTACAAACTACGTATGCAGCATTCAATTTTCATATGTTTAAATATCATTGTTTAAATATTACACATTTAATCTCCTTAAAATCAAAGATTTTCATCTTCGAGTTATTAAAAATAGTTTTTTTTTTCAAAGATGTTTTAAAAAGGATGTAGCTTTAGGTATTGTGATATAGATCGGGTATTTTTTTGACAGATAATGTGAATAAGCAATAATATACAGCTATACTTTCTTATTATGTTTTTTAAAATTTGAATTGTAAGGTTAAAATTACAAAATGTATGTTCTCCTCCAAATCGATTTTATGAAGCTTTCCGCAAACATTTCTTCATAAGACTTGTGACAAGGGGCCGTCTTTCGATAAGGTTGAACTAACGGCTCCAAGAGGGACTCGAAACCCTAAAACAAAAGAATTCACCCTTTACTTAGCAATTCCAGTACAAAAAACATTGACCACTGCCCCATGCATGCTTCTGGTATTATCTGGATCACCGTTAAATATGATTTGAAACATTTGGAATATTTGTATTTGTCTTCACTTTTAGAAATATGAAGTTGTAGCTAATTGTCAAGGTCTTATAGATATATTTTTTTCCTGTTTTCATTTGAAATTGAAATGTACTTGATATATAGAGATTTAAACCCCTTTCCAGCTTAAATAAATGTTTTCATTTATTTATGCAAACTTCCTTATAATGACACTTTTAAAGAAATTTTAATGTTATTCATTTCAAAAATCAACACTGAAAATAAAAAGAATATTATTTCTTTTTATATTTGTTTAACTACACAAAAGTCCCCAAGCAATAATTTAAAAATCATAATGTTAAGCAACATATATAAAAAAAATCCATATCCTATAGCTTTTATAGAAATAAGCCGAATAAGGGATAAAAAATATGGAGTGCTTAAATAAGTGCAAATATTCATTGAGCGTCATTTAAATTTAGGTTTATTTGAATAAACACTATGGAAATACTCCCTCACTAAGTATGTAGATCCTGACTTTTAGGGAATTAGTATGTGGATTCTTTTAGATCCCCTTTTATCCACAGCGGTATACGAACACGTAATTTTAAAATGTGCCCAATGGAAATCATAACACTTGTTTTTGATAGGAAGTACATTCTTAATCGAAATAGCATTTCATTTAAGTAGTTTTTTTAATGACTGAAAATGTAATTATGATTAATAATTACATGTTAAGAACGATTAGATTTTTTTTATTTAAACGTCACGTGAGGTGATGATAGGAGTTAAGCCTGCAATATTTAGGTCACATGAACTTCACTAGTGCAAGGGCATGTTCGATATTTCATACAAAGTTAATTTTATGAATTTGTGTAAAACTCATTAAATTCAAGTTTGTAAAAATTACAGCTATTTAATTTTTTTATTGGCTTTCACAAGTATACAAAGCAAACTATATATATGTCAGCAAAACATATACTGTATACAGGGTTATTTCCGCCCCGTATTATTTTCGCCCTTTCACTCTTGCAAACATTTTTGCCCCGTTTTAACTTCGCCCAGTCCTAGTTTTATTTAAGAAATTGTACTGTATTCTTTGAATTCGCCCCGTTTTAAATTCGCCCAAATGAGGGTTGGGCGAAAGGGGCGAAAATAAAACGGGAGCGAAAATTTCCCCGTATACAGTAAACACGTATACATGTACACGGTGAATTTCTTGATAATTTTGTCCTTTTACAAAAGTACACAGTTTACTTGTAGCCGTGAAAATTGTTTTATTAAAAAAAGATGGGGGGGGGGGGGGTTTCAGCAGTAGTAGAAAAATGCATTCATATATTTGCAATCAAATAATGTAAATCCTTAGAGTTAGCACATAATTACATTTCATCATAAAAATAGATGGATTTTTTAAAGTAGTACAACACAGATTTTTTCCAGTGTCTTTCATATTCCACATATCTACAACTTTGTAATAACAAAACCTGTTCTATAAAACTCTGTCTATAATCCTCTTTAATAAAATATCAATATTTGATTTTTGAACACTTTTATATCTACAAGCAAAAAAAAATTGTTTTACAATAAGTATTATCAAGTTTTGTAATTAACATCTATTCCTGTTCTCATATTTACCAAAAAGTATTGCTTGATTGTCAAAACTACAATGAATCTCAAATTTTTCCAAAACTCATTCTTCAATCCTACAACATATATACGCTATTTTCTGACTTTGTTTGGAATAATGCATATCCCTAGATCTTTTATCGTCAATTTGTAATTGCAAATATTTTTCGAGTCATATAAGATGAAACAAGATTATCAACTAATCAACAGGCTCGTTTAAAGTCATTTCGTTCTCAAGTTCTATGGTCAATAAAATGATATCAACAAATACAATCAATTATTAAGTCAAAGACTGATATTTTTCATACTTATTGTTAGGCCATTATTTACACTCTGAATTGTCGACAGATTTTTCTGCTTTTTTCCGATCATGACATGAAGTACACCACGGGTCTGACCGGTTGGCTAGGGATGCTCACTCCTCCATGGTACCTGATCCTACTTCTGATGTTTTAGCGATCAGTGTTTGCTCTGCTACTAGTTTGTAATGTTTAAGGAAGATATGAGCTTGAATACTGTCTTATCTCCACATATTAAATTTCTCATCCGTCTTTTTTACAGAGTTAGGTCTGTTATTTTTTAATTATACTTTTTAAGAAATCATGATCTATTTTCAGTTGATAGTAATGGGAAAATATCTGTTCTTATACAAATATACTTTAATGGAAAATGATTGGTTGAGCTGATGTATGATCATTATTCTTGATTTTTTCTTACGTTTACCAAGAAGCAAACTCAGTCTTCATCTTATTTCTAAATACTTCACTTTCAATTCTCAAAACTGAAAGTCAAATTTCTCATTATCTTTCAGCGAAGTCAGAAGAAAAATGAAAATTAGAAAATATATCTATAATGATTTTAATACACAATCATAATATAATTACAATAAGAAATATTCTACAAAATCAAGTTTTTTCTGTTCAATTAGCAGTTGTCAGGGTTCTTCTTTTTGGGGTACCCTTTCCTGTACTTTCCTCCTATACGTCTTTTTCCTCCAACACGTTTTCTTGGTCCGTATCCTCCTCCGTATTTCCTCCCCCTCCTTCTACCCTTTCCTTTTCCTCTTCCCCTTCCGTATTTCCTTCCAACCCTTTTCTTTCCTCGGCGTCTACCATAGCCCTTTCCTCTCCTTCCAAATTTATATTTCCTTCCCCTTCCTTTCTTGAGTCCCTTTCGTCGTCCGTATCCCCTGCCTCGTTTTAATCCTCGGCGTTTTCCGTATTTCTTTCCGAACTTTCCTCTCCTTCCAAATTTATATTTCCTTCCCCTTCCTTTCTTGAGTCCCTTTCGTCGTCCGTATCCCCTGCCTCGTTTTAATCCTCGGCGTTTTCCGTATTTCTTTCCGAACTTTCCTCTCCTTCCAAATTTATATTTCCTTCCCCTTCCTTTCTTGAGTCCCTTTCGTCGTCCGTATCCCCTGCCTCGTTTTAATCCTCGGCGTTTTCCGTATTTCTTTCCGAACTTGCCTCTTCTTCCTCTACCGAGTTTTCCTCGTCCTCTGTATTTTCCTGGGAACCCACGTTTAAATGGATACCCAGGATGGAATGGATAGCGTCGTTTCACATCGCCCCGATACTTGGAGACCTTTTAGAATCAATATATGAATAGATTGAGAAAAATGATATCTTTTTCTAGTATAAAATTTTATATATTTGATTCAAGTTTCACTATATGTCATATCATAAAAACTCAATGCAATTTTTTTTCCCAAATGGATTCAATGTTTTTTTTTTCTAAACAGGCATGGTGAATTACTGAATTTCAATTGAAACTTAATAGAATGAAGCAGGAATTACATGTAGAACCTAAAAATGAATAAATGAAGAAAATACATTGGTCTACTTACACTTCCATATCCTGAAAAAAGTTGAAAAAATGCATTACAAAAATTTGTTAGATCATGAAACTAAAAAAAAAATCAATGGTTTTATCAATATTAATGATTTAATCAGTACAAGGCATAACAACAGTAAAAATAAATGGTGTTTTCCTCTAGGAAAGTTATAATATACTAAGTTCAACGCAATTTTGTTAACATAAAAATGTAAAAAAAAAAAAATAAAAAAAAAAAAATAAATAATAATAATACATTCGTACCACCAGCCTCTGCTTCTGTGGGAAACAGCACAATAGCACAAAGTGCTACAAATGCTGATAACACAATTAGACGACCAAGGTGCTTTGAGATCATTGCAGGGACTTGATGAATTTCGTGCAAACTCTCCCTCTATATATACTATGCATTTATCACGCTTAAATGCTCGACCATGTAACCCTGTTGGTGCGTTATTGATGTAAAATCATTGGACAAACGTATTAGTTGAGGTTACACTAAGAATATCCGCTGAAAATGGCTGAAAAATTACCAACTCGGCGTGAAACAATATACAAGCAATCAATTATACTAAGAAATTTTTTTTTTTAAATTATAAATCATTTTACTGAATGTCATGATAAAATTATAGAAAATAGTTTTCTAGTTTGGAAATTGGAAAAATTGAAAGCAAGACATATGAATAAGAATGTTCCAGAATTCGACTTCTTTGTTAATTATGTAGCTAAATTAATTATTGAAGGTAGAAGAATGGAGATGTTTAGGTGATAATTGATATGACTGTAAAACCCAAAAAATTCATTGTAATTCACACATATGAGAGTTTCATAAAATAGTACCAATTTTGAATTATATGACCATGGACACAGTTTCGACTGATTTATTTACAAGCAATTTTAATGTTAACATTTCCTAATTAAGGCAATTCTAATGAGGACAAATTTAAACACCATTTATAGATTGACAATTTAAAGGGATACAGAACTTTATACTTAATGCTTTTTATTTTTCACAATGTAAACAAGGCTCGTGCCTTAAAGTAAAAGAAGTCGATTTCCTCCAGACCCTTAGCTACATATAACGCAGAGAAATTCAAATTACAAGACAATCAAGAAGCAAGGCATTACACTCAACACTTATTAGAATACATTACCGACTTTTGTAGTACATTTGATCAACCTGTAGCAATGATAAAAGGTCTAAAAACAACGCATTATCACTACCATTTACATTTGTGACTGCCGCTATAATATGAACAATTGAAATATTTAACGAAAGATTTTTCTTTCATAGGACACTTTCAATTTTTTGTTGAGTGCTTGATGATCCTTTATTAGGTCATTGAAAACATCCTCAAATATTTATGACGTGAGAAACCTGTTTTTAAACAGTAATAACCAAACTTTATATACTTAAAAATGCACTGGCCTCCTAAAAATATCCATTAATATCGCAATGGTTAAAGCGTATGTTTCAGAGTTGAGTCATAGAGTTGTTAAGGTCATAACAAGTTTAAATGATGATTGCCAGAAGTAAGAGGGACGTCTTCAATTTGTAAATTATTTAAAAAATAAGTATAACATTTTTTTAGTGTTTTGGTCACCCACAGTCTTCCATTAGTGTGAATAAAATCCAGTTCTTATCAAGTTTCGACCCACTTAATATAATGTTAAAAAGTTGCTTCACGCCGGCTAACGCGCTTCATGATAAAGATTTGCCGGCGTGAAGCGTTGTAGATTATATACCTAACGAATCTTCAAAAATTTAATTCATTTCTTATATTTACATTATTTTTCTGATGAGTAGCCACAAATTTACACCATTTAACTGTAATTTTTAAAGCAAAACAGTTTGCACTATAGTTTTACGTCAGGTGCGGTATTGTGACGTAACAATGGAGATATTCATGCTCATCCATGGTAGTTCATGAGAAAATGAACAATGCTCCTATTTGCAATCTTAAGAAGAATTATTTGGATTTGTAAATATTTACAATTAAATTACTAGTATTTGGATTTGTAAATATTTACAATTAAAAAGAGAAAGATTTATTTTTTTCTGAGAAGTGTCCTTTATTCAATTTTCTATCGATATATTATATTGAATAATAGTCTATGAAATTAGTGTCAATCAATGGTATAACACTTTACAAAGCGAAAAAAAAATTTTTTTTTAGATTATTTACTAACATTTTAAGTATGTTTGTCAACCTCTCATAATATTGGTAAAAGCTATCATGTGTGAAAAAGAAATCAGAAAAAAGGTATATCTATCTACATCAGACTACATGCTAAGTCACTTAGGAATCATTAAAACCTATAATGATTACAATCAAGAATTTATGATATTCTTTTTTACAAATACCACAGGCGGCATATTCCTTAGACTAATGTAAACGTTTATGTCTTTTGTATTTTATTTACACCTTTTCTATGTACCATTGAAACACAATATCAATATCACTCTCACTTAACACGTTCTCTTGTTATATAAGGTCCGTTTTGTTGAATTTACAAGCAACAGATTTTATCATCAAAGATGCGGACCCTTTTCCTTGTCGTGCTTTTGATTGCTGTCCTTCTTGCAGTGGATGCCAGTGGTTTGTAGTTACTTTTCCCAATTGTTAACTTAAATGATCATATACAATTTGAATTTTATCACAGATTTTAAATGTTCTACAATAATTTCATTTAATTGAAAAAAACTCAGTTAGCAGAAAGTGACTCGGTTTATTATAAATCTGGACAGAAATTGGAATTTTGTTTAGGTAATATGTATTAAATGTGATGTTTAACGAGCTGTGCATGCCGGTGGTTTAATTGTTGTCCCTTTTCCAAATTGTTAACATGAATTAACCTGAACGTATGAAAAAAGTAAATGATACATATCCAATTCTATAAATGATTTTTTAATGTTTTCCAATAATCGCAAGTATCTTGAATTTACAATCAACTGAAATGACATAGGAATAAGTATCTTATATGAAATGTCATTTTTAACAAGTTTGTGTCATTATTTTTTTTCAAGGTCCACTGTTTGTGATTTAGTTGTCCCACAAATTTAAAATGAAGATGAAAAAACATAATTATATGCGTAGAAAAGATTCTTATTTGATGCATTCATGTTCACTTTTTCACAGGTTATGGAAGAAGGGTGAGTTATTTCATGTTTGAAGGGGTTTCCATTTAGAAAATGAAAGCTTTTATATTTTGCAATATCCCTTATAATTTTTGGTCAAAATGCAGAGGTCAAAATTTTCCCATTTGCTTAGGCAATCAGAATTATGGAATGCTTCCTTTTTTTTTTATAAAGAACTAATCGTATTAACAAAGGATATACAAGTGAAACTTTTAAAACAGCTATTGAGTGTTTATTCTAGCATGAAGTAGAAGAACTGTGTTTCCCTTTCAAAATGACCTCCAGTATTTATATATAAACAGTTACTTTATGCAGATTAAAAGATTTTTGATATACGCCCTACACAATGCAGGTTAAGCGAAATTTACAGGATCTCTATGGTTTTTATTGTAATATGGGTTTATTCCAATGAAAATTATCCCAACGTATTTTCTTTCTCCATATCCATTTCTGGATATATATAAAAAACTTAATAATTCGTGCAAAAGTCATCCATACTAATCATGAGAAATAAAATAATTCTTAATCCCATCATTTAAACCCTGATCACTCATATAAAATCTTGCTTGAACCTTAATGATTTTCCAAAAGGAATGTGTTTTAAAAGAAAATTACAAACAATTATAGAATAGCCTGTAGGGCAAAATTAGACAAAAACTTGGCAAATTAATAAAGAAATAATAGACATTTCTGTCATTCAGAGTTATCTCTCTTATCAGAGTATCAATGAACCTTAATTCATAGCTGTTCAATGTTCTTCATTGCTTTTAATCACATTTTAATACATTTCATATAAAGATCTTTAAAATATATGTAAAGAATTTATATTTTTTAAATTTTGTTTTAACAGTCTAAAATTCTACACGGTATTGGTCATCGAGGCAAGTACCCAACACGTGTAATCGTCATCCATCATGGAGGCAAAAAGGGTGGATCTAGCTCTTCCAGCTCTTCATCCAAGAGCAACGGATCTAAGAGTAACGGATCAAAGAGGGGTGGTAAAAAGTACAGAAGGAAGAATATTAAGGGAAAATACATTTAAAGCGTGAGCACAGTCGTACAAGCAGAAACTACTCACATTAGTAGGCACATGAATGTCTGTTTTCAGGAATATATTGTTAACATTAAATAAATTTTGCTTGGTATTCTGACTTTTATTATTATTTTTTTGTCTTAAACAGGCAGTTGTACTTCAATTTGACAAACATTGTTTGGCTTTCGACCTGATCAAACCTATTGTATTTTAAGAAATATGTGTTCTTCTTCCAATTAGCTTTGTGAGCTTGGATACCGTTCGTTATCTTTTTATTTCTACATCTTAAATATTGTTATAGATTAAAGGTAAATTATGATAATGATGCATTGTTTCTCAAGTAGCGTAGATGTATAGTTATTGTATATGCTATTACAGTTGTCAGCATGAAGAACATACATAATTTTCCTTCAAAACTATAATGAAATATAACGGATTACTGATTAAGAAAAAACAACTCTACTTTCCTCTAATTCTTTCAAAACAAGTACCATGAAGATTTTCTTGTTTCAGTTTAGGCGAGGAAAACATTATTACAGTATCTGCGTTGTTTTATATATTTCTTTACATAATACACCTGTATTTCTCTCATTTATTCCAATCTCTCTGATTGGCTAAAACTTGATCACATGATCAAGTATATAACAACATATGGACTCGAGTTATTATTTAAAGATTTTAAAATGCATATCGACTTAATACTTCCAAAACTGGAAATGATTTTCTGTACAACAACAATAATGCTGAATTCTAAACAGCTAAGACAGTATACGAAAGTATTTTTAAAAAATAATCGATAATTATGATGATTTGTAATAATAAATGAGACATAACAATGCTTTGAAGAAGGATCTACTTTATATTAAAACATTAGAGATACATTTTCAAAAATCGATACAATTAAACAAAGTAGCAATTCAAAAAGGAAATCCCCTAAATTAATCTATTGATGCAAAGAAAACACATATTATTTTACACAGATTTATTTTGATCTCTAGTCTCTTTGTGCTAAAAATAAGACAAGAAAGAAACTTTATGGTGATTTTATCAATCTCTGAATATAAACGTAAACCTTTAATTCGCTCAATCCATAGATACATGTACATCGGCTTCACTATAAACATATCGATACATGTATATCTATGAATGAGTCTAATCAAAAGGCTATATTTATAGAATACTATAATGAAGAAATGCAAAATTAAATGTCCTCATCGTTTATTTTTAATGTAAAATTGAATGATGTAGATATTCAATGACAAATCATATGACTTACATATAATAAATACATGGGCATATTCATATGAATGAATTATGTTAAATTAATTAAAAATAGATTTGTTTTTTAATAAGCTGTCTATAAAATAGTTTTAGAAGATCTATCTATGAGCCTTATTAATCTTTTTAGTAAGGACATATTTTTTTTAAAAAATAAGTGTTAAATCCGCATGGATACTTATTTTATAGAGACTTATATCAAGAACTGTTCTGTTTTAAAAAAGTTTTTGAAGTCTCAAACTTCACAAATCCTCTTGGAAATTATTGCATTAATAAATCTTCTATAACAGAGATAGAATACTGATTAAAAAAAATACAATGATAAAATGTTTGTTTTTATTTTCGAGATTCGTATCGAGTGTTTTAAACCGGTCACGGTAGCCTAGTGGTAGAGTTTTCGCTTCCTGATCGGGAGGCCCGGGTTCGATTCTTGTTCACGACACCGCGTCAAACCTAAGACGTAAACATAGGTAATGACAGTTCCTTCGCTAAACGCTTGACACTAGAAGTGAAAGTCACGGGTCTTTCGGATATGACCTTAAAAACGTAGCTCCCGTGTTGCGGCAGGCGTCGGCACGATAAAGAACCCTCACTGCTCAATGGCCCTGAGTGCCGATTAAACGTTTAAATTTGAAGCCATTCACCGGCATACGGTCTCCATTTGAGTGAAAAATTTTCGAGAGAGAAGTTAAACAACATACTATCAACAATCAATCAAAGTGTTTTTAAATATAATACTGCAAAAAAACTTCCATTTTCAGGACCATTGTAAGAGGTTCGTTCATTTTATAATGAATGCATTTGCTAAAAATTTCAATGTATTTTCGAAGTCTACGTAGAATAATTAAAATTGAACTGGAAATGAAATTGGCAAGTTTTGGATCTAACTTATTACGCTGTTTTATAAGGCCCGTATTTCTTGAGCTTAAATACAGTTCGTTACCTCTACTTCAATTTGCCCGTCTTTGCAAGCTGCTGACGTTGTCAAAATACCTATTTCACAAATTATGTTATTTATTTTATATTTCATTTCAAAACCATCTTCGCTAGCGAAGGGTTTCTGATACGCAACTCTCCTGATAATCCCTTGGCATACCGTGTTAATAGAAGTTGAGTTTTTTTCTCGAGTTCTGATTGGAGTTTGGTACACCCAGTCGACCAATCAGCAATTTTTTTTTTTTTTTATTTTTTTTTTTTTAAAAATGACGATATCTGCGTTCGAGATATATCTTGACTCTTTAGTCTAGGGAATGAGAAACGCAAGTAAACGATCCGTGAGATAACATGCAATTCTATGAATAGCTGTGGTGTCATCCAATATCTTCTAGATATGTGATTAAGAATCCATACCGAAGCTTTAGATTTGTATAATAAAAACATAACTCAATTATTGCTTCTTAATTATTTGTTTTAAAACTTTGATTTAATTTGTTTGAATGTGCGTCGAGGTTTCTTACTAAGGTGAGACCTTAACAACCAAAGTCCTGTCACGGTAGGTGCTGACAGGAAAAAAGATCCCTCGCTAAACAATGGCTCTGAGTGCCACGTAGAGGTCCAAATTTGAAACCTTTGACCACTTTATGGTGACGTCTCTTAATGATTGAAAAAATTTCGAATGGGACGTAAAGGAACATACGATCATTCAATCGAATGTTTCTTTTTTTTTTTTACCTATCTGTTTGATTAAAATTTGAACCTTTAAATGACAGAGAACGACAATGGACCTATGCTCCTCGATATTTTTTCTTTTTATATAGAAATCTAGTATTTTTTTCTTTTTAAGAAATTACACAGCACTGTTAAGGCTTACTATGAGAAATCAACGTAAAATAGACGTGCAAAAAAAAAAAAGAATTTTTAAAAAGAAACGGAATTTATTTTTATTTAGCTGGTTTATTGTCACAGACCTTAAATACTTATTGAAATAGCATAGTATAACTCATTCTGTACTGTATCAAGCTTGTTCCCATCGATGAACAGTCATGTGATGAATGCATAGTACGTGTACTGAATGTAGGTCATTAACATATTTCAATATTGCAAGGGCATACAGTAGTTGAAATTCAAAATTCAAGGTATTAATTGTTTCTGCATATTTTGTACTTTCTGGAAAGTGCTACTGATTTTTACGTTTTAAAAGTTAAATTTTCAAGTAAATAGGCTCATGTTGAAATATGTTTGACTTTTACCAAATATTTTGTGTACTTATAAAGTCATACTCTATATTTAAAGAAAGCAGCAGCTCTTTTCAAGTTAATGAAAATATCCTTTATCTATATTTAAAAAATGTTTAAGATCTATTGGTGTATGCCCTTGAAAGAATGATTTAATGAGGCATCTCCATGTAAAACATACCTAACCTTTACATAAAATCACAACAACAATAATCAAATACATTCTCTAGAGAGTTAATGAATAATCGCACTAAACAAAGGATATACATTGGTATTAATAGCCTTTTAAAGCATGTAAATAATATTCTGTTTAATAATGAAACGCATTTTTCTTCGTTAAAAAAATCCACAATTTGCCTCTCACAGCACATGAAACACGTCATTTTTACCAAAATGATGTCATGTTGACAAGTTCTTCACCATCAGTGATTTGTTTCTAACCAGCTGCATGAGATTTAACTAGCAACTTTTTTAATGCATTGATAAATTTTTTTGTTTTTTATTATGCTAATACAGTTTAAAGTTGCAAATTATTTCATTTTCTGGTATTATGAGGAATGCATAAAAGTCATATTTTTGTGTGACGTCACAGTAGACTTTTCCCGTATAAATTAAGCCCGCCTCATTTTTTCAGCCTTAACAATGCTGCGTAGGAACTAAACTTTTTCAGGTAAAAGAAAATGCAAGGACTATCTCCTTTTTCATTAATTATTACAAGATTAAAAAAAACATATAATTCAATAGTTTCCTTTTCATTACTTTCAAGTTTAAAAGTCAATTTAGGTTCTATCAATTTCAAATCTTTCTTTGATCTTTGGTTGAATACTAAATAAGTCCTAAATGTTCTTTCACCAAAATCAATACTCAAAACGCCTAAGTAAAGCAATATTCATTTATTTAAATATTTTATGATTGCCACATAAAATGTTCTACACGATACTAACACGGCAGTCTTTTCCTTTAGCAGTTGTCAGGGTTCTTCTTTTTGGGGTACCCTTTCCTGTACTTTCCTCCTATACGTCTTTTTCCTCCAACACGCTTTCTGGGTCCATATCCTCCTCTATATTTCCTTCCTCTCCTTCTCCCCTTTCCTTTTCCTCTTCCCCTTCCGTATTTCCTTCCACTCCTTTTCTTTCCTCGGCGTCTGCCATAACCCTTTCCTCTCCTTCCAAATTTATATTTCCTTCCCCTTCCTTTCTTGAGCCCCTTTCGTCGTCCGTATCCCCTTCCTCTTTTCAGTCCGAAGCGCTTTCCGAATTTCTTTCCAAACCTGTATCCTCTTCTTCCTTTGCCGAGTTTTCCTCTTCCTCTTCCCCTTCCTCTGTATTTACCTGGAAATCCTCTTTTAAAAGGATATCCTGGGTGGAATTTTCCAAAAGGATAACGCCGTCTTACACCACCTCGAGCTTTGGCAACCTTATGAATTGTGAGAGAAATATTGAATGTAGGTTCAAAATGTCATTATGATATATGTATTTCATTAGGTCATAATAATAGACTAAACTTGATGTCAATTGTCTCTTTAAAAAAATCGGTCATGTATATCAAGTGTTTAACTTTAAATCAAATTCAATTAACAATAAAAAAATAAATAACTCGAGGCTTATAATATATTCCCATGTAGAGAGAAATAACATTCGTTACAAGCATTCGTTATATCCGAGTTGTTACCTTATCTTTTAGAATCGAAGGAAATGAAAACAATTCTTTAAAAACATCGAATCATTGTAAGCGTGTTTACTGATTTCTAGCGTGAAAGGTAAATCCAACAAATACTTCTAATGAAATTCATTTCAAGGAAAAGGATTGTATGTAACGTTATCATATACTGTATACATGGTTATTTAGTGCCCCGTATGATTTTCACCCTTTCGCATTTGCAAAGCAATTTTGACCCGTTTTAAATTCGCCCACTCACAGCTTTGTTCCAGAAATTGAACCTTGTTCTCTGTACTCGCCCCGTTTAAATTTCGCCAATCTTCGAATAGGGCGAAAGGAGCAAAAGTGCAATGGGGGACAAAATTTTTCCTCTGAACAGTATATTTTCGAGCATAGGTTTTCTACTTACATCACCATATCCTGTAAAGAGCACAAAGAACACATTGTTACAATAAGATTTAAAAAAAAATCATTTCGTATGATAATAGTAGTTTTTTGTTTGAATTTGACATGTTTACATGATTGGAAGTTCGAGATAAACTTTAATGTTAATGTTCTTCAATTTTCCGTCTAAAAGACATAACATACTGCAAAATTGAAATGCCTTTACACTAAAACAGATAAAATAAAAGTTGTGTCTAACCTCCCTCTACTTCAGATGGGAATAGCACAATAGCACAAAGTGCTACAAATGCTGATAGGACGAGAAGGCGACCAAGGTCTTTGGAGAGCATCTCTGGGACTGTGATTTGCCTTGCTACTCTCTTGCTTTATATAGTATACACTAAGTATACCTTAATATCTGAACATGTATAAGAGTTGCAGCTTTATTGATGTGAAAACATTAACATACGCTTATTTAGAGGTGCTCCAAGGGAACGTTTTAATAATGTTGATTTTTATTTGTCTTAAATAAACATATATGAAATTTAAGATTTTTAAAAATATTGAAATATTGAAATAAGTTTCTCTAGCCTCAGCATATAATGTAAAACTTGACTTTTAATTTGTATTATTTAAATGGATATATCCCGATTAGGCCTCTTTGCTGAGGTTGTAACAAACTAATCATAAAAATACATAGAAAAGTGAGAGTATTAACTCATATATACGAATGGCATTTCTGCCTGTATCAACAACTTTCAAACATATGTGATGCTGAAGTAAACGAACCGTAATTTTTGTTAGACGTTATGGTTTTGAAAGTGCTTTTGTTTTGCAGAAATTTATTTACAAATCTACGTTTCTATAAAATGCTTTTCGTCTTAATTTTGCTTTAAGATCCCAAACATAAAGAGGACATAAAGTGCGCATCATTGAAAGTTCTAAATTGTTTGTGTATATGTGACATAAACATTAATCGATATTATACCAAAATGAATTCAGTAAATAGAAAATCATTTTTGTTTGCTCTTTTCGTTTTTACAAAAAAGAATGAGAGCTTATTTTTCATATGTTTAGTGTTGGATATAGGAATGACAAGGTATGATATTACAATGTAGCAGAATTAATATTCTTATTCGAGGTGAAACTTGCTATTAAGATCTTTCAATGTCGCTAGTTTTTAAACAACTTCTGATTGTTTGATTTATAATTTAGACCAATACCACATAAGAATTGTGCAAACTTCTGCTCGATTTCCGTCTATTTAGATGATTTTGAGGACTTTTTAGCAAAAGCCTTCTACCTTTGGTTTGTATACAGAAGCATATCACACTACAGTAAAACTCGTTTAGTACGAACACGGATATTGCGAATTCACGGATATAGCGAAGTCATTTTGGATCCCCAAGTAAATAATTTTAAACAATTTCTTATACCGACATAACGAGTTACGGATATAGCGAAGTAATTTCACAGGTCCCAGTGACTTCGTTATAACCGAGTTTTACTGTAGTACATAATTTGTAAATCATATATTCAGTAGAGAAGATATAACCATTTTGTTGGAGTAAATGTATGATCTCCTTATTTTGGTATCTTTATCTTTGTTTTTTTTTCTTTAACAAGAGAAATGATAATTTGCTTTTCTAAGTTATTATAACTGTTCTGATATGATTTGAATTTTTGAATATTTTTAAAAAACCTCATACCTTATAATTTCTCTGGTTGTGGTTTTCAATGAAATTGTTGATATATCAATGAATTTTTTTATATCAATTATCAAAATTCATGTCAGACAAAATGTTTTAGTTATATCAACGCTTTAATTAGTTTTATTTAGATAAACATCGGAAAAAGGTAGACTCCTTTTAATTAAAGTTTGTCGTAAATTGTTTTAAAAAATATGAATTAAAAGAAGCCCGATTGTAAAACTTATTTATTTTGTTAAAAAGTTATTGAATTTATTCATTAAATTAGAGTCTATTCCAATGTGATATTTTTGAACTTCATCAACATATAAATATTAATCATTTGGATATAAAACAATTGCCCTCCTATTGGGAATTATTATTATTATTATTATTTTTTTTTTTTTGCAAAATATTCCTTTCTAATTAAACAGATAAATAAAATGACATTAAAACTTGATAAATGATATCCCTATTTACTATTTACACTGCAGTTCATTGTCAATTTTCAAAATGATTTCACTAAGAATCTTATATTCTAATTCCTCTTTTATCGATTGGATATTTTTTTTTGGAAAAGTATTTTTTCATATATGTGTTTATTGATGTTATGATTTTTCGATATACAGATTGTCATTTTGCTTTGCCATAATAGTTGAAGTGATTTCAATTGGAACAATTCCTATCAACAAAAGGGGATATTTTTTTCTACAGTCTGTTGTCCGCGCATTCCTTTGATATCAATAATGCCATGTTTGTTTATGTCTTCTTCACACCTTTTCTCTGTTTCTATAATAAATGTGAAACACAGCATTTCTTATTAACATATTTTATGGTTATAAAAGGACCGTTTCTATCTACAGTTGTCAAACTCCAAATTGCTTTTGATAAAGACGAGAGTCCTACTTATTACAATTTTGGTTTTGACCGCCTTTATTGCCGTGCATGCTGGGGTATGTAGTAATGACTAATTATTTACATTGATTTGTTTGTGTGTCTGTTGCTGAACGTCCCTCTCGAGAATTTGTCTCTTATGAGAGGTCTTTTTTGCTTTGCTCCAAAATTCATATTGTTTATTTTACTTTAAAGCTTGAATATAATTTTTTATCTCAATATATTTTTGTATTTAAAAATAGCAATCTAAATTCCTGCACGGTATTGGTCATCGTGGCAAGTACCCTACACGTGTAATTGTCGTTCATCATGGAGGCAAAGGGCGCGGATCTAAATCATCTGACTCATGCAAGAGCAACGGATCTAAGAGTGGCGGATCCAAGAGTGAGAGGAGAAAAAAGTACAGGAGAAAGTACTAGACAGATAGAACAGAAGTAGAAGGGAAATCTACTCACATTAGATGTGGATGTCTTTTTAAAGAATATGTTATTCATATGAAATAAAATGTTGATATTTTATTTGTGTCATTATTTTTCTTTTTAATTTAAGAGGCAGATGTATCCTGTGAATTAAATATGGTTGAGAAAAAGGGTTGAATAAATATTAAACTTTAGTTAGGATCTTTCCTTAAGAATAGATGCATAAACATTATCTTATGCATTGACCGCATATGTTCTTGGTAAAATAGAGTCAATTAAAGAAGACACTTTTAGTCCTTACTTACAATATGTAACTCAATGAAATCTCTTCATAATAAGTATATGAGGTATAGGTAAAGGTATAGGTAGTGAGAGTCATACTTATAAGCGTATAAGGTATATAGGGAGCGGACATTAAGAAACATTAAGCTGTTGGAATTTTGAAACTAGATGGCGACAGCGCCGATTGATAATATAATGTGTTTTTTTTTATTTTGTAATAACCTGACAAATAATCAATGTATAAAACTTAAATTTTCGACATTGTACAAATTGTTGTTGTTTTATGTACAGTATAAATGTTAAAAACACAGATTACGCAGTATCAATTTTATAGCATTAGTAGAGGAACTTTTTTAAAAACCCTTTGTATTTACTTTATTAAATTGAACTGCAATTTTGTCTTAAGCATAACTCGTTTCGCCGAAGCTGTTCCCAATACCTTATTATGAAAAAAATGTCATGGAGACAAAATATTGTTACTCCTCTTAAAAATACATTATAGTACTGAAAAAGAAAATGATCCAAATTATTTGCACGTCCAATTAATATACTTTCCTGTGCCGGCAAAATGTCATTTCGTGGCATTAAATATTGAACAATCAAGAAAATAATTTTAACGTATTAACCTTTTGTTGATTTAAATTAAGCAGAATGATCAGAGCTATCCAAGGTACTCAGTAGGGGTCTAATGTATTTTTATACACTATTAAAAAGCGCTTTGTTGTTGTAAATATATTCAGCGTAGCTTTTTGAAATTAAAGCTATAAAATTCTTTTATGATTATCGTAGGTCTGGAAATTTTTTGCTGTAGATGCTTTTTTAGCGAATTTGCGCATGCATCGCATTCGCAAAAATATTTTTCTCAAAAAAAAAAAAATCAACAACAGAAAAAGTAAATAATTTTTTTCTGACAGTTGTTGTCTTTTTATAACACAGTGAACATGTATTATATTTAAGCAGTGGTCATTTTAAGAAATCTGTTAATTCTACCAACTAATTTACCGTAATAATAAGTGCATGGATTGTGCCTTCACTACATTCGATATCGTCCGACTATTTGAAAAGCAGTATGCCTCATATAAATTTTTTTCACCAAGAAAGAGGGCCAAGTTTTTTGATTAGGGAATAAATGTTTTATTTTCTTTTTGTTTTCATGATGTGATCAATCGATTGGCTTGCGTGATAATTCATTAAATTATCACGCAAACCAATCAATTGATCATCGTCATGAAATTGAAAAATCTTAACACCTACCCGGTATTCCTTCTATTTACATGGCATTGATCCCGCCAATCTACGTGCTAGAAGCCCCGCTTCTTGTCTCCTATTTTTCCCGCCCTGCACGTGATGTTTTTTTAGCCATGCCTATCGCTGAACCAGTACAATGATGAAGAAATATTGACTATTTGTAATTTTATCTTGAAGAAAGACATTGGAAATGTAAATATTTTTTATTGTTTCATATACGTAATTTATTGTATGTGCATTCAAAAAAACGAAAATTGTAAAACGAAAATATTAATCAACAGCTTTTTGAATCATAAATCACAAAAATGAATTGATGTAATGATTTCCAAATTTACGGTATAACGTTTCAATCATCAACTTCCTTACTAATGTATCAAAATACCGTTATCACCTGCATATGCAGTTTATATCTCCCATTTGAATCGATACACAAGAGCATGATTTATGAATGAACAACTTATTAAAAGAGCCAAATTCACAACAAATAAGTTGATGAAAGAAGAATATCAACATTTTCATTTAAATTCATCTTCTCGTTAGTTGTGTGGTAATATAATAATTTATGACCTTGTCAGCAAATACAATCTATCATTAACTCAAATGCTGACTGACGTTTTTCATGATGCAAGTAATTTGTAGGCAATTATTTACACACTGAATTCTCGACAGATTTTTCCGTTAATTGCCTATCATGACAAAGATTGCAAGTTGCGTTTGTAAAATAGAATTTAAGTAAAATAAGACACCAGACTTAACTATAATTTTAATTACTCTGAAAGAGAAAAAAAGGATCACGTTCTCCTCATAAACCTTCAAGCA